AAACATCTATCACTATTAATTATTTTATTGAAGAAATGTAGTTGAAAATTCATCTTCAATGAAATTACTCTAATCATGTGTAACGGGAGACAACATTTTATATTAGTTGATTGCTCATATGACTAAGTCATCTAAATTTGATTCGAATCAGTTTGAATTCAAAACTAATCTAAACCTTGGGTTGAGCATAATTCAAACCAAGTTTAAACCTGATTTGAAAAACGTGTTTGCGTTGTAAATATTATGGATTAATTTGTGGATAAGGCATCATGCAACTAGTGAGATAGAGCTCATGGGGTAAGCTTTTGTAGGATGAATAGCAAATGAATAGTGGAGTCTGTGGGCAAGGCATTGTAAGATTAATGTTGTGCGAAGGAGAAGAAGATTTTTGAATTTGAATTTGGTTTGAATCTTGTTTGGGATCTAATTAAATTTTAGAAATATTAATAATAAAGATGAAAAAGCCAAATAAAAATTAAAAAGCGATGTATGCAAATGTTTTTACATAAAATCAAACTCTTATTAAATATTATCACATTATCTTATTAAATATTATCATATTACAGGGATATGCATGTAAAGAGCCGTTGGCTTCACAAATGAGAGACTTTTTCCAAGCAGTGCAAGAGGTGAAAAACCATACAAACAAAAGACCAATTGCACAAATAAAATTCATGCTTTATAATAATGTTTTATATCACAACTCTTCACCTAACAAGCTTCACAAATTGACCTCCCTTAATCGTAATCACCCCTAAACAATTAAAACATTTACATACATACCACTCAATTCCTATGAATTTACATATCTAACACATAAAACTGTAACTTTTACATACAAGCCACCTTTCCGATGCATGAAAAGATGTATTTCACATTTTTAAAAGTTAAAATGGTGATATTTTTTATATGATGTGAAATATATCGGTGGTATAAATGTAGAAGGTAAAGTTTAGGGGTTAGATATGTAAATAAATAAAAAAAGTTTGTCATTTATGTAAATGCCCCACTAGTCTTAGTTGGGGTTAAAGAATGGTTAACGAAATGATATCAAATTTTAATATTTACTTAAGTTATAATGAATATGTAATTATGTATTTAAACTTTTAAGGTACACTAACCACATACCACACTAATGAACGTCATTTTTCAAACCGACAAAATAATAATAAAAATAATATTTTTACTGTACAATCATAATAATAAAGTTCAACAAACATAGAAGTCACAACAGATACAAGTGCAGGTAAACAAACTCCACTGCAAATTTTATCCAGCAAACACAGAGAAAGTGAAGCTAAATACCTCAAAACACACGCACAGTGAACAAACTCCCTCCAAATACATTCCTGCATTAAGAAAAGTAAACACAGATGAACGGTACAACTCAACTCACAAAAATAGTTTAATTTGGGTTAATCAAAATTGATCCGACCCAACACAAAGATTATCAAGAAATTCAACAAGAACCCTACCTGCATCAACCTGTTGATTTGAACACGACCGTGTAAACTGTTTAACAAAGCATAGCTATTTGGGTCAATTTCAACTCAATCTCACATTAGCAGGTCAGATTTAATTTAATTTTGAGTTGATTGGTCACCTTGAAACTGAATCCGACCCAATAATTATTCAGATCAATCAAAACTTAGCTTTTTTGAGTGTGAGTCATATACAAAATAAAGATAAAAATTGAGGCTTTTTTATGAAGCAACTCAAATACTTACATTAGTAAGGAACAATCTTCCATCTCTGATTCTTGCCCTTGAGCCACTCCCAGAGCACAATAATGGTTCCATCATGAACTCCTCCATGCTGCTCATCACCATTAAATGCATCAAAATTCAAACTAATGTTGTTCACCATTCTTATGCACCGGAATCCATCGCCTAAATCCCTGCTCTCCGTCCAAAGCACAGACTCGTCGAGGAAATTGGGGTTGTAGGGAACCAATCGGACCTGGCAGAAACACAAACAAAGAACCAATATAAGAACGTTAAAAAAGTCCATATCATAAGTAGTTTATTACCTTTGCACTTCATATGTAGGGGTACACATGCAATTATGCATTGCTGTATGTTTGCAAAAACAAAAAGAGAGACTCATGTGGAAAAAAAAATAGAAACATGAAACCCTTTTTTGGGAAATTTTGCATGGAAATCTCTATAGATCAATTGTGGAGAATGAAGCATTATTCCATTTTTTTATAAGTTAGTTCTAAAGATTTAAACTTTATGTTAACTTTCGTATATAGATAAAAACTTTTGTTAATTAAGATATCAAACCTTAGTCACCATTAACATCGAGATCAAACCAAATGAGAATGAGCTTGAACGTGGCCACCAATAATTTCAAGGGGCATTTACATAAATACCACACTATTCTTTTGTATTTACATATTTAAAACCTAAATTTTCATATTTGCATGCATAGCGTTCAAACCTTTAAAATCACATAAAAAATTGTAAAGGTGAAATACACTTTTCATGTAGGTTCAGGACACCAAAATATTATAAACATAATATGAATGTTTAGGTGTTATATATGTAAATAAATAAGAATTATGCGGTATGAACGTCAATTTCCCAAGTTTAAGTGTAAATTTTGTAATAAGGATGACAAGGAGTATTTCACCTTTTCAAAGTTAAATAGGTGGTATTTTTAATGTGATGTAAAAGAATTGGAAGGAATAAATGTAAAAAGTAAAGTGTAGATGTTAGATATGCAAATACATGAGAATTGAGAGGCATGTATGTAAAAACCCCTTAAAAACAAAAAAATATTGTCCTGAGACCGGACGCAGAGTTATGTCCGAACATTAATGAAGTCCCGCCACGTGTAAATCCCAGTCCCACAACTAAAAAAATGAAAAAAAATATCATGTAGCGCCTTATTTACATGTCTAACCCGGCCCGAACCTGCCTGTTCCCTTCGAAAAGAAAAAACTCAGAATAATCGCTTCTAAAACAAAACCCAGCTACGCGGCTCTTCATTCACTTTTTCCTTCATTCGCATCGCATTGGTTAAGGATTCGCCTTCTGTGACTCTGGTAGCTAGGATTTAGCATTGTCATTAGTTGGTCGAGATAAACTCTAAGTCCCTTTTTACCGCCATGTAAGTTGTGATGTTTAGTTTTTTTCCGATACAAGCTTTGCGCGAAGATTTAGGCTTCGTTGTGGGAAGTCATGAAGTTCTTTTTAACTTTTGAAGCCAGCTAATATACACCAATGGAAGAGTTGAAAGAAACCGAAGAAACTAAGAAGTTGGAAACCGAAGAGCCTAAAATAGTGGAAACGACACTGTCTAAGAAGAAAGAAACAAAAGAGGCTAAGAATAAAGAAACAAAAGAGGCTAAGAGGAAGCTAGTCAAAGAGCCTAAGAAGAAGGAAACCAAAAAGCGGAGTCATCATAAGTCATCCAGGTAAATTTTTTTACTGTGGTTGTACTTGCATTCAAAAGTCTATGGTATTGAGAAAAGAATTGCATCATATAGTATGTTTACTGCATTGTTGAAATTATCATCTGTAACATCACAGTAGCACAACAATAACATCACAGTAACACCATAATAACACCACAATTACACCATACTAACACAAAAATAACACCAATATAACACTAAAATAACATCAAAATAACACTAAACTAATACTAGAATAACACCAACATCACATCACAATAACACCACAATAACACCACAATAATGACACAATAAAACAATAATAACACCACACTTACATCTCGATAACACCAAGACCACCCAAAAATTGTATTATTGTCTTGTTTAGGTGTTATTCTTATGTTATTGTGGGGTTATTCTTGTGTTATCATGTGATTTTATTCTAGTATTATATTGGTATTACTTAGGTGTTGCGGAGTGTCATATAGGTCATGTTTTATTGTGGGGTTATTCTGGTTGAATTATGATATTTTGTTGTTGTATTTTATGCTCTAGGGTGCACTGAAGTGGTGTCAATATGGACAATTATAGATAACAAAATGTCTTTTTATCATGTTCTTTTATTGCAGGTTTTTGAACCCAAAGACATTCAATTGTAGATGTCGTTCATCCGTAGTAAGGGATGTTCTTGATAAGGCCAAACTTAGCCTATCTGAGAAGACCATGAATAACTTGAAAGTAATGAATGTGATTCGATTTTTTTACCTCCCCAATACAGTCTTTCTCTTTCTTTAATTAGTTTGCTGCAGTGTATGATTTTCTCATTGATAAAGTGAATGTCGTTGTCATTAAAATAAGGCAAAACCCGCCATTGGTATATCAATGATTTTGTTTTTCTATTAACGGTTGGTGTCTTGTATAACCTACTAAAATTTCCTTATAGTTATTTATTTATTTGATTTGTCTTGTGTGATTTTCTCATTTTATACAACTCTGTTTTTATGTGCATGCATCATTGGTTGCTTCTGCCGCATCTGAGGCCAAACCTCGCATGTTGAAGTGACCAATAAATGTGGGTTGGAGCTCTTCACATATTCATTTAGCATTCAAGAGGCTCAACCCTGGACAAGCATGTCATTTATTTCATAGCATAACTTTTTTCCTTTTTGGTATTTATGTAACATTATTGTTGTGGTATTTAGAGATTTCTTAGAGAATTTTGTTGTATGTTTTATTGAGGTTTTTTTGGAGAGTTTTATTTTGGTGTTATTTTTGCTTTGGAGTTATTTAGTTTTATTATATTTAAGGAAATTTTTAAACATTCTATAATTTCATTGTAAGTATATGATTATTTTTTGGATTTGAAAGATGATGAATACCAATTGCTCACTCTCACAGTTGAAGGACCATCTAGTCTAATTAAACAAATCTCACACACTTAAACTCACTCCACACCATAGCCACTTGTTTCATATGATGTTTGATCATCACGTCTCAAGTGAAATCACCCCGCAGCCTCCATGTATAGCCCGCAATAAGTGATTTGAAAAAATAATCCATTTACTCCTAAATCAAGAAAAATTTCTTATTGAATTCCAAGAATCAATAAATTCCCGTTTTTCTAATTTAGAAAACATGGTGACAGTCCTCCAAGGAAGAGGAAATTTAATTCCCCATATACTTCATTCAAGCTTAAAAGGAGAAAAACAATAAAGAATTCTGAGCCAAAGCCCAAATACACTTTAGAAGATTTACTTGTACACATTGAACAATAAGAGGAGACAATAAATTTACCTGTACATATTGAAACATCAATAACATCAACAGAACAACCGACATCAACAACAACAAAAGCTGTAGAAATTTCAACAATTGGTGATGATCATTTAATTGTACACATTGAACAACCAACGACAAGAGAAGCTGTTGATACTCCAATACTTGGTGATCACCATTTACCTGCAAATATTGATAATGTCGAGCAAGAAAGAGTAACAGAACCTGTAAAGGCAACAACCATTGGGAATGACCCATTACCATTAGATATTGATATAGTAGATTAAACACTAAAGGATGTTGTGGAAACTTTCAAGCCACCCATTCCTATTATATCTTCAAATGAAGAGAGATCAACAAGCCACCCTAGGAGAAATTATTGATGACTATCCGTCAATGTATGAAAATAAGTTAGTAAATGACTCTTCTTTTTGTGTCCATTTTTTTTTTTTTGAAGAGTATTTGAAGAGTATTTTGGTTTTGTACGCTCATCCAGCGGAGCTAGTTGTCGATTTTTATGGTAGACCACAAATATTTCATCAAAATGTAGACAATAATAGACCAATGTTGTACCAAATACAATGATAAGTAAATCTTCATCTACTTTATGTTATGCAGTACTCTTATGTGCTAACCCTAAACCCTATTTGTTAACGATGCAAAAAATGATATTATGATTGATATGGGACATGTTGGAATAAGCAGTTCTGACATTGATGACATACTGCAAAATGAATGGTTTGCAAATGAACATGTGGATGTTTTTGTCATGCTAATGGAGAATAAGATGAATAAAACACTTGCATTTTACAACCATACATATACGTTTCACCACTACACTAGGTAAATATTCATATTTAAGTCAAATCCTAAAAAGTCAACTTCGTCCACTATGATAAATTCATATGTTATTTGTTGTGTCATTTTATGCAGGCTTATAGAGATAAACATGCCAATGTCTGTGGATCAAATAAAAAAGAAAACGGTAAAAAATTTAGAAATTATTTTACTTCCTATCATTATTGATAAACAACATTAGACATTGTTAGTTGGGGAATTGAAAGAAGGTAAATGGAAAATATATGCCCTTTGCCAAACAAGATGCATAAAGCAATAAACCATTGTAAGCATACTCAACAAGATGCATAAGTAAAATTTAGCAAAGTAAACATACTCAACATTCAATTCAAAATAAAACTTTGCAGATCAAACTATTTGTAAAAGATGCTGGAAAAACTTTCAGAAGCGATCTCACCAAATGATCAGTTGTCATGCCTAACGGTATCCTAGTCCAAAACAATGGATATAACTGCAGCTTGTTCATTTGTAAATATATGGAAATTTTAGTACAGGTCGATAAAGGTGATTGGAGTGAAAAATTAGGCTGGTAGACAGAGATGTCAAAATTTAGAGCTGAGTTTGCGTGTGATATATACATGTGGGTTGTCTCAAACATAAATGATTTCTAAACAATTAATTATAAACATTTTAAATTTGATTAAGTATTTCATATTATTGTAACTATGTTTATTGATCATCATAATGTTAAGTAGACTCTTCTTCTTATTAAAATCGACCAAAAACAATAAAAATTTCACCGCAAAAAACAATTCAATACCACAGCACCTCAATAAAATGAGGTCAACAAATTTACCTTGAGGACATCATAATACTATTCCAATAATAGCTAATACAACTCCAATAGCACTGCCCAAAAACACGTAAATAACACCACAAAAAACTAGCAAAAAGACATAAATACAATGCCAATAATACCACAAAA